CGAAATTGAAACGAAACCTGAGCAACAGCCCCTTGAAAACAGCTTTAGAGGCTGGGTGCCAAGCAGTTTAGTGCTGTCTGGAGGTTCTAGTGTGATCCCTTCTCATTAAGGATGCTGCTGAGCTTTCTTTTGTGGGTACTGAGAATACTTGAAAAGGGATAGTTAACTACTGCACAACTTAGTACAAGAAGCAATGGGAGTAGGGACAGTAAATGGAGCATCCCAAGCAAATGTGAACTAGAGCTTTGCCAGGCTGTAATAAAGCATGGGTGACCCTTTGCCAGACATGCTCTTTCCTCTCTATTTAAAGATATTATTTATCCACTAGACTTCATGAGGTGTTACCTGGAAAGGCTTGCTGTGCAGATCAGTCTTGACCCTAAGCTTCCTTTGATATGCTTTGCTTAGGGGGGGTTCCTTGGTTTCTGCAGGAGTCAGTGATCTCAGTGTTTAACAGTTTTATTGTTTCACATGAGAATCTGCTTCTCTGAATGCATCAAGCCTCAGTCATTTGTATGTGTGTGTGAAGGTCAGTGGGCTTGTCAGATACCCTATTGTAAATCCTGTCACTAAATCAATTTCTTTTAATTAAAAAAAAATGTGCTGCTCGTCAGAAGAAGTGCATCCTTTCATGTGGGCAAAACCCATTATATCCCAACACAAATACGATAGCTGTGAGCTCTCTGCTAGTCTCATGTTGCCTGTGTGTCTCAGCTGGTACGTTGGCGCTTTGGAAATCTTGGTGGTCAGAGGGGGCTGCATCTTCCCTTCCTCTGAAGGAAATGGCTTCTGTTACTACTCTGGCATCATCTAACTTTGCAATGTCAGAAGCAGAAAAAGTCAATAGTGGAAAACAGGTAGCCACGCCAACAGGTAAGAGATGTTGGAGCCCCTTCCTTGCTCCCAGAAGCACGCAGAAGTCTGACACAACGGTTAAGAGCAGGACAGGATTTTGCATTCATTTAGTAATTCCCTTGGGGTTATACTCTTAGATGACTTAATGACTTAGTGTATACCCTGTCTGGAAGATAAGCAGGCATAATTCATTGTAGGCAGGTCATTCATCCTGTGAGATAACCAGCAACTACACGCCATAGGCAGCAGGGAGATAAAGATACTACACATCAGCAGCAGTAGCTCAGGGTTTCAACCTCTCCACCTCCTTCTGTGACCCAGAAGTCGTTTGCAGTTGATTATTCAGCCATTTGCTTTCTTTAGAGAGAAGTACACTGGCAGTGGTTGGCGGAAGCGAGTACATTTTCCATTCTACCCATGCCTTTCAATGCAGCCATAGCATATCTCTACCTGGAAGCAGGCATCCTCGTGTCATTTAGAGGCTTTATGGCTGCATTAAATACTGGTTTTGAAAACGTACTGTAAATTGATCCCAGTTTTTCTGGTGTTATTTAAATGGTGGCTGTTGTTCACCTACTGCTTGGGATGCTTGCACATTGTTAATTTTCAGTTTCAGTTTGAGAGAAGCTTTTAGGGGTCCAGTTTATGTGATAGCAGTATATATGGTCAAAACAGGCACAAAGAGAGAAAGAGTGTGTATATAACATAGTATGTTATATTTCTTGGTTTTCTTGTAAAAATAAAATTACTTTCAGTGTCAGCAGGTACATTTTAAAACTGAACAAGTCCCACAAAACCATGCTGCTTCTAAGCCAGCAAATATTAGGATCAAACATACAACGTGATTTCTCCCTAGTTAATATTCTCTCTTCCAAAAAGCTGCAGTCCATAAACAGCAACCTACATCCTGAGATTCCCCTGCACTGTAAAGATAAATGATTGACTCAGCAGGTACTTTATGATGACTAACTCTCAGTGAAACATTTTTCTCCTGTCTACACGCACGGCAAAAGAAATAACAAGTACAAGGCTTTCGATACAGACATACATACGATGGCCATGGTGTGATTCACAGTCTGTGATGTTGCTTTATTTGAGGAGGAGGGGAGGGAGAGAAAGAAAAGTCTATTTTTGTTTGTTTGTTTTCTAATTACTTGAACTATTTTTTCTTTGACTCAACAACTCTGAACAGTACATACTGTACTACTGTAACTGGCAGTCAGGGCTGGGAAGTCGAACGATGGTGATCATAAAAGTAAATATCCTGCATTCTCAGAGGGATTAGGAGGAGGTGGATGAATTAGTCTCATTATGGTTTTGTGTGGTGTCACAGTCCCTTTCTGCATCAGTGCTATACTGTATGTAATCTTTAGACCTGTATTTCTTGAGTGAAGTACTAAAAACAAACAAGAAATCAGGATAGTTTTATTATCATGTTTTTTTTTTTTTTCATTTATGAAACCATTTGTTTAGATGATGAAAACATTCACCTCGCACAAGAAAACATACTGCAAAGCAAACAAGAGTCTTGTTTTCAGTAGTGCTTATGGCCTGTTTGAAGAGTGTACTAAGGACAGAGTGGAGAGTGATTTTGATTGACATGAAATAATTTGATAATTGACATGAAATAATTTGATAATTGACATGAAATAAGCCGTACCTCACAATGCTTTCCTGTCGGTCTGCATGCTACACCGTAAGAATCGTAGTCATCATGGCACACCTGTGCTCGATTGTCTCATTCATAATGGTTTGAATCCCAACTTCCAAAGTGAGCCCTTACCACTTTTGAAGGTGTTAAGTTGCAGTTGTGTTTTCATATAACGGAACACTCAAGCCTGTGATGGATTGCAAGGGATTCTCTCTGCAAGGGGAAAAATTGCAACCTGTGGTCTGCTTTGTGCAGGAAGGGATGCTCACTAATGCACTTGTCATCTTCACGTTCTGTGCCAACCTGCTTCATTAATGCAAGACGTTTACATATCAGGATATGTTTAATACAAGACTTTCTGAGTCCTTGGAGGGAGATTCTCACTTTAGCAAGAGTCATTCACTGGAATTAGTTGGGTGTGAATTTTAAGCAGAATATCCAGGCAGAAGAGTTGGTGTTGATGGTCACTGGGGAGCAGATTCCAGAGAACTTCTTTCAAAGATGCATGACCCCTCAAGAGCTGATAATTGAAAACTGTTTCTTACTCTGTCTTACAGTCTAAAAGCCTTGCAAAGCGCTTTCTTTCCTTTCCAACATGCTCTTCTGAGAAGTTTCAAGTCCTTGGGAAGGGTGAGCTTACCACCCAGTTCATGCATGGGTAGCAGTTCCCATCTGGTTCCTTTCTAGAGGCTGCTGTTACAGATTTTTAATTCTTTCTTTCATGCTCTTGCTTCCGATGTTCATCACAGCACTGGAAAACCTAAATACGTCCTCTTGCAGCCTTTAATTATATGATAAAAGCCATGTTCATTTTAAAGCCTATTCTTTTTCCAGACAGGGTGACCTATGGATGGCATTCTCTTGTGGAGGCGTAGGACTTCACATTTGCTGTTACTGGCTTTCCCTTCTTCATTGTCGCTTACCGTATTTTTTTCGTTTCAAAATGGTTCTCTATGATTGTAATTGCACTAAATGCATTCAGTAATGCAGAATTGACCTATTTTGTACACAGTCTAGCTGATTCTGCAGTTGCCTGTAGGGTTTCCTAACTATGTTCCTCAGCCACTCCTTGGTTTACAAAAGTCTGATAAGTTAAACATGGCCAGCAAATCATACCGGAGGCAAGGAAAGTTCAAGGTAACGGAGGAGGATGAGCCACACAGGTGTGAATGGGTTGGACCGAGTGTTTTTAAGGGAAAGTGGAGGCCTCTGGAACAGATTGGGAAGACTAGAATAGATGTCATTAAACATATTTAACTGTTGGAGGTCCTTTGAACACGTTTGCTAATATCCAGTGACATGGCCAGGTATTGTGGCCCCTGTAGGCTCAGCATTTAATATATGATACCTCTGACATCTGAGGTACGTACTCAACTATAAAAAAATAGATGAGCTGGGACCCATTACCATAAACACTGTCTGCAGCGCTGCCCCTGGTAACAGATTGTTCTGTGTCTCATTAAAAAGGAGATAGCACTGTCAGAGGAGTCAGTGCTTCATTTTGCCATGTTTGCTACATAATCAGTTAATTTTGCTTAATAGTGCATTGCATCGCAGATGTGCAAAAGGGCAGAGTCACATCACTTTCTGCATAAAACTTCCACTCTGGTGCAGCTGAAATGTTAAAAGAGTGCTGCTAGTAGGCGAGCTGACCTCAGCTGGTGTCCCTGCCTTACTTCCATCCTGGGTTCTCCCATCAGTTCTCTGGACAAGCTCTGTGCTTGTAAAGATTCAAGGTGCAAGTTCTGCAGACTAGAAGTTAAATACGGATGTCTGTGGGGGTGGTCATTCAGTGTCTGCTGTGCTTCTGCTTTTTTTTTTTTTTTTTTTAAAGAAAAAAAAACTTACATAAGGTACTGTCAGGGTCTTCCCCACATTTCATTGGGAAGTACTTTAGTGCCTGTCTCTCATCTAAGTGATACTTAGAATATGAAAGTTAGCATTACTGATTTCTAAGGAGATGAATCCAAATACATCTATCCTAACGTGGATCTTTACATTTTACTGCCCTTTGAGTGCAGCTTTTAGAATAATTGTTAACAAGTCAAATACATAAGACAAAATATGTGGAGATGCTAAGTTTAGACCACTGTTTAGAGACAGATTATTAAAGATTACAACTCAAGGTTTTAGAAGATCAGCATATTACACAGTAGAATGGCATATCCAACAATTAGTGCTAATCGTATACTGCTTAAATTTGTAGTGAAACTGAGTATGTGTGAATGGTTTTCCTCAGATGAAAAGTAACATATTCAAAATAAGTAAATATATTCTGTACTCGCATATCCCAGTCTGAGAGTATTATGGGGATCTAAAAATAACCATGTATAAACTCTGTAGTGTGGTGTGAACATCTTGTTTAAAAAAAAAAAAATTAAAAAATGGAAAAAGTAATACTAAATGTGTGAAGGGCCCCTGTTTAGAAAAATATGTAGACATGTAATTAAGTTCATCTTTCTTCAGAAACACAAATAAGCACCTGCTTAAATCTAAATGTATGTAAGTTGTGTTTACTTCAAGAAATACTTAAGTACATTTGAAGTTAATCATCCACACAAAAGATTTTCCCCAATAAAGCCTTGCATACACACAAAAGGAGAAAGGCGCTTCAAAACTTAAGCATGATTATAGGTGTAAGTGATGGGTTTGATTTCAGAAGAACCTGAAGGAAGTAAGTGCACAAATCTAATTGAAATTCAGTGAGTCTGGAGCATCTAATTGCTTTGGGTCCCTCTGAAAGCCTCGACCTCTTTTAAATGCTAACAGCTGAGGAAGGTGCTGGCTCTTCTGAACTGATTTCACATTAGCGCACCGACACCTTCCTGGATGTTCCTATCCAGATGCTCAGTGTGAGAGTGTAACCCTCTGCGTATCGTTTCTCCAGTATTGCCAAGTACTGGTGTCGCTTTGAACATTTTTATGAACTTAAAAATCACATCAAAATGCCAGTGTGTTTACAAACTTTTATCACCCAGGGAGAACTGCAGAAGATAAAGGGGTGGGGGTAGAATGATAGTTCAGTTGCAGTGCTATGAAGTTATGAGCAGAAGAGCCTTTTGGAAGCTAGCAGGGTCCAGGTGAGATTTTTAATTAATAGATGCCTGACCTGGCCCCCCTACCTTAGTCCAGGCATCCTACATAGGAAGATTTGGATCTAAATTCTGTATTTTGCTCTTTCTATGCTTTTGAAAGATGAACAAAAACTTTTAAAAAAAATAAATCCTTGAATTTGGGGTGCTTGGTTGATTTCATCTGCAGCCACGACTGTACCTTCCCAGGGGATGTTCCCACGCTCCCGGAGGCTAGCTGCGTCTCAGGGCACAGAGGGAAGCGCTGCTGCTTCCAACAGCCGTGTTTTTCACGGTGGTGGAAGATGACCCTAAGTAGGTCTTTGGTTGTCCTGCATCCTCCCTCCTCTCCCTGCATCTCCCGTGTTCTCCCATTTCCTCCCTTTCTCCACCAACGTCAGTTCTTCTGCTGTTCAGCAGGCCAGTTCGGAGAGCTGATCTGGCCAAAATCTGTCAGAGAGAAGGAAGAAAAAAAAAAAAAAAAAAGAAAAAGGGACTGTGGGAGCCCTGTTTGGACTAGTGCCATCCAACATGAGCCTGCACTCACATTGTGGTGGTGGTGGAGCTGTGTGTAGACAGGCAGCTCTCTAGATGGGGGGAACTGCTAAGGGTGGAAAATGAAACACCAGGAGAAAAATAAGGGTATTTTTACATTGGGCCGGTTACCCACTCATGCAGCCACCTAAGCATCTCCAGAAAATCCCGGAGGCCAGTGCAGGGACAGGCTCAGGCAGTGGGAGAAGAGACCTGCTTGAGGCAGCGTTGCCACTGAAGGACGTGCTCCTCAAGGCACGGCTTCCACCCTCCTTGGCAGGTACGTGCTTGGCAGCGGCAGAGACGCAATGCTGCTGCAAACAGATGCATAGGGACGTGAAAGCTAATGCCTTTAAAGAGAAATAGGAATATTTAGGGGTGACTGACATTAGTTCTTAGGACACTAGGATGGGAGTCTTGTTCAGCGCCCTGTGCCCGGCCAGGCCAGCCCTGAACTGTGTGGCCCACGGGGTCTGTGGCCGTGGACAGGCAGTGGTGCACGGCACTTCCAAATTGCAGGTTGCTCAAATCGAGGGGTCTTGTGTAATGGGGCCGACAGGATCTCTGGGATGCCTTTTATTTTTATTTTTAATTAAAAATGACTGGCAGCAATATGCCTTTCTGAAGTTGACATGCTTCTCCATTAGCTCTTCTGCTTGGACGTAGACACTTACAGTCAAACTCATGCAGCGTCCTGTCACATGCAATTTGTATTCTTTGTTTGAGAAGCACCCTATAGACAAAACCCATTTGTTTCTCCCTTTTGCTGCATTAAGCTATTACTGAGGGGATTTCAGAGGTGTGGGTGAGTTAGGCACCTGATTTCTGCTGACTTGAGTAGGAATCAAGGCACCTACTACTGCCTCTGGTGACTGAAAATCTCCCCACAGGTTTTGGCTCACTGAAAGCTTCTTCATTTTGTTTGGAAGAGGATGAATAAGTCTTTAAGGAGTCTGTGCTCTTTGGGGGTGAAGGCCTTCTCTTGTTAAAGCTCTTAGTATGCAAGCTAAATAAAATGAAGCCTTAAATGCTATGGTTAGTTAGCAGCTTCATTACGTTTTTCCTTTAGTCACATATTTCCACTGCAGGGAGCGAGGCAGATAGCCAGGACTTTCTGCTGCCCGGCCTGGTTCCTTCTTTTGTTAATTTTGGTGACGGTGGACCCTGTCTTCATGGGGCTGCTACACCAGACTGGCTTCTTGTGTGGGGAACATTCACTGGAGCCTGCAGAGAGGCTTGCAGGTGGGAGTTTTTGTACGGGGGTTTTTAAAGCTGGGTTGTACCTGTGCTCTGCGTGTGACAGCTGTTCCTTGGGATCTCTTTCTGAGCCTCACACCTTTCCCCAGGTTGTCTCCTGCAACACCAAAGTGCAATTTCTCAGTTTCTTTTTGTTTCGATTAAAGGAGTTAACCCTGGTTATTATATTTATCGGGGGGGGGCATGGACTGTTAGATGCGCAAGGAGGTTTTAAGTGCTGGAGGAATACCATCACACAGGTAATAGCAGGTTTTGCATAGTTAGTAGGTTTCAAAAGCTCACACCAAAGCCTGTTTTTAAACAGGGAACCATTTTGAAGGAAACCGAAAATACCGCACATAGTGCAGTCTGCACTTTCTATCTCAAATCTCTTCCTGTCTCTTTGAAGTAACCAGTCCTTGATACACAGCATGAGCAACATAAAAACTTAATTTTCCCTCGATGCTATTATGTTTAAATCAGGGTAAGTTAAAACACTTAATAATTTACAATTGCACACGCAGTATAGTTGCATTTCTGTTTGGCCATCTGTGGCTGGGTTTAACACCCAGGCATTGACAAGGGTCCTCCACATCATGGGGCGTGTTCTGCTCTTGCTCCACTTGCCGAGCTCCCGCTGCATTGAGACAGAGGTCCTGTTAGACTTACAGGAGAGACCAGGATTGTACCTTTTTTATTTTTTAATAGCTGTTTATTTTCTGAGGTGCAAGTTTGGATTTCCCAGCTCTGACACGGAGGTTAATGGTCAGGATCCCAACCAGCTCTGTGCAGCCGTTTCTTCACCCACTTGCCCAGGGTGCCGGGGTGGGAGCAGTAGGTTCTGCCCGCTTTGCTCCCCCAGGACACCTACAAAGCTAATCTGCTTTTAAGCTTGTTTGTGCTCACTTCTTGAACAATGTATGCTGTGTGCATTGTTTGTTTTTCAGGCTTTTATTCAAGCAGAAAGGCAACTTTTTGTACTTACTTCCATCGCTTTTGGCATAAAGTATTTTCCCCATGTTTGTAACCGGACTCAGTAATGAGCTTAACTATTTAATACCTGTTGTAAAGTAAGCTCAGAGGAAAGGGAAGGGTTTAAAAATCATTGTTGTTTAGGCATTCACTGAAATGTACTTCTTCACTGGCAGGTGCACCGGTATTCCAGGCAGTGAGAAATACAGAGGAACTTGCAGTGAAATCTTAAGCAATCATTAGTGTAGATGATTTTGATATGTAGATTAATATACAACAAATAATACATGTTCTGGGTTTTGAGCCAAGGCTATAATTCAGCTAAGAGGCTTGATAGAGTACAAATGAAGGTAGGATCAAAACTGGCTCTAATCTCCTTTATTCCTACAACTTTTCTAACCTTTCTTACAGTTCTTTGTTGGGCCCTTTAACAACACTAGTGGAAAAATATAAAAGGCTAGTGGGCATAACCTCTGATTTTCATGTCATTCTACCTATTTATATACATTTTTTTCTACCAATTCTCCATGTTTTCAGTGGAAAGGAGCTAGCAGCAACGCTGTGAGTCCCATAAAAGGTGCTTCCATTTTTCAGTTGAGAGGGCAATACAATGCTACAGGGTGTATTACAGGCTTGCCGTAGTCCTTCTCACAGTCACAAGTATTAATATTAATGTCGTGACATGTGAATTATTATTTTTCAATGCCAGTCACTGCAAGCATCCCTTGTTGCACTAAATGTAAGGAGCAGCATATTCAGTTGGGACAATGGATTATCTAAGGGGAAAAAGAAAATGCAGGCTGCAGTGTTTCCTGTAACATACCGTTTATTTTCACTGTTTACCCGGGCCGACTTCTGGCGAAAGCCCAGCACTTACACCTTGAGGACTCCGTGCCAAGCTTGTCAGGTTTGACGAAAACAGTACAGCAACACTGATTTTTTTTTTTTGCAGAGATTTCTGTCTGTAGGAAAGGGCAGCATGAAGGCCCTTCACCAGGATCGCTAATGACAGGGCGCAGTAGCCTCGCTGCTGCCTTATTAGCACGGTGTTAGGAACGTGTTTCATGGAGTCTCCATCAATAGCGTTGCCAGCTTTCAGCGTGTAGCAGGAGGAGTGAGGTCTCCATTAAGACCTTGACTCATGGGGTTGTGGGGTGAAGCTCGCGCCTTCTCCAGACCGGGCAGGCAGCCGTGCCGTGCCAGTGGAGGCTCACCCTGGAGGGAAGGCAGGCGGCGTTGGTCCCGCCAGCCCTGCCCCGAGGGCTGTGTCGGGGACAGACAGCTTCATCTGGTGGATAAGGCAGGAGACGGAGTCTGAGCCCGTGGGTGGGGATTAGAGCCAGAGGCTGCTGAAGGAGCGTCCCGAATGAGCTTATATCCTGGCCGTGCACCTTGCTGGCCAGCGGCACCCTTTTGGGCAGCGCTGGTGTGCCTCCCATCCCAGCACTCCCGGGCTACGCTTGTGGGGTGCTGTCTGCCCCTCTCCAGGCTGGCTTTCCCCGCCCCCCCCCCCCCGCACCCAGCTGGTGCCGCTGGATCTGGGGGGGTTTTTCCCCAGCCTGACCCCTAATGCAAGCGTTGGCATGGCCTTGCCCCAGCATCCCAGGGGAGGCGAGTTTTGGCGTCCCCTCTCCTCCTGCCGCGGCAGCCCGGGGGAGCAAGCCCTTCGGGGGGTGGGGGTACCACCAGGGCAGCAGGTACACAGCCTGAGCCCCAGCCGCCCGGGCAGCCCCCCGGCACGGCGTGAGCGTGGTGGGGTGCCCGTGCTGTGGCTTGCACGCCCGCTCGCGTCCCCTTGGGTCTGGGCTCTAATCCTGGCTTGAAATTTTAAATATTGACAGAGTTAATTCCTGACTGCTTCAGACTGCAGAAACTGGTCTCTGATAAGGCTGTGTTTAATAAGGATATTCATGGTAAAGAGCTTTGTTGGCTAGACAGAGCTTTACCTGGCCGAGCTGTGCTCTGGTGGGCGAGTAGGTCCCCTCCCAGCACGCTCCCTTCTTGCAGCCTGGCAGTGTGGTGGAGTAGGAGACACAGGGAGGTGATACCTCTTTTTGTCCCCCCAAAAAATAGCCACAAAATACCTTTGCATGGTTGGCTGCAAGCAGCACGAGGAGCCAAAGTAAATGTACAGCTGCAGTAAGCCTAAACTCTTAAACAAATGCCAAAAATAAAATCAGCCTACCTTACTTTTTCCACCTTGTATAGCAGTTTCCAACCACATCAAGTGAAAAGTCTAGGTGGGTGTATAGTGTTTATCATCGCTGAGTAATACACATTACATTAGCTGGGACGTTTGTTTTGTTCCTGACTACTGGTTTTAAAATGGTTTTAGTGAGGGCAGGAAAAATGATTTAAGTTTACGTTGTCACCTAAGAGATAGGAGGGTGTTCCTGATTTGGGGAGGAAAGCTGAGAATGTAAGCAATACTTCTTTTTTTTTTTTCCTTCTGCTACAGCTGCAAGTAGGTTGAAAGACAGACGGTGGAAGTGCAGAATCCAGCAATGAAAGCTTACTTTCTGTAAGAGATGGTGTCAGAGTGGTTTCTGTGCCCGCATTCGTCTGGAGCAATTGTGTCCTCCAGTATTTGAAAATTGTTTACATAGATGGCTGCAAAATTTTATATCCAAACCAACGCAAAATTGAAAACAGATCCACATCCGAAACTGTACTTGTTTTTTTTTTTTCCCCTTGCAGTTATCTCTTGTATGAAATACTGCAAGCCTCTTTCCAGGGAAACTTGGCCCTGGCTAAATTGCACCCAAGGGCAAGTGCTAACCGGTGCACGGAGGAGGGCTCTCTGCGGTGCCGGGTGCGGGCGATGGTGCAGCATCTCTGACCTGGGGGTGGTACCGAGGGAGCGGAGGTCGCTGGGGGGGCAGCAGGCATGGTGCGTGTCGTAGTGATGCTCTGCAAGGGAAGGGGGCAGGTTTTGTCAGCCGTGCCTGGGTAAGATCTGCACCGAAAGCACTCAAAACAGCGAGAGGGCAAGTCATGGCACACAAAAGTTTTTGGCCCTTGGCGTTCTGCAAATGGTGGCAGTGCGGTGCTGGGGCTGAGCGGGCTGTGGGGGGTGCCACCGAAACGTGGGGAGGGGTGGGTGGAGTGGGTCTGTGAAAACAGGGTAGGAGGCGAAGTCCTAGTCTTCCATTTTTTTACAGGTTCTGAAAGTCAGAAACGTACCAAATATAGACCCATAGGATACATAAGAGCTAGCGTAAGGGGAATGCTGGTGCATCTGGAAGTGCTGGACAAAGCAGACCTTGTTACCTTGCAGGGCTTTAGCCTTTGATGCATTCATTTCAGTCACAGGATGTTCAAGTTTAGCCAGGAGTTGGCAGACAGATGGACTGCAAGGCAGTTCACAGAGTGACTCAGTCTAGGCAAGCGTGAAGAGTCATCCACATAAAGGTAACCTATTACAGTATTTTCACAGAAACTTTTTTTTTTTTTTTTCTTTCCTGGATTTTCATGATTTTGTAGTAATGCTTGGGTTTTCGTTCATGGTAGTTTTCCAGTTGCTTCCCGCCGGCTCTGCCACCCGGTCACACTTCCACCTCCACAGAACAGAGATACAGGGCTTTTGTTTGCATCACCCCTTTGCGTGGCCATTGTTGGTGGCCAAGTGGTCTTGCCTTTTCAAGGAGCTGTCAGGCAGAAGTACAATCAGCATAAAAACTGTAGCAGCATCCCTGTATTTCCTCACCACCTTCCTGCTCTCCTTTGCCAGCTGCAGCAGTTGCACTTCCTTGTGTTAGCTTCATGAAGGACTGAGAAGCATCTGTGATGTGTGATTTAAGGCATTCATCCGGCTGCTCATGGCTTGGTGTGACCCTGTTTCTGCAGACAGACAAACTCTTTAGGAACAACTGTTGCACTTGGCCTTTCTTTCTAGAAAGCCACGGCATTGAGGCTGCATCACATGGTGGTGATGGTGTTTTTTGTCTAAATGAAGAGGGTAGGAAAAGCACTGTATTTATTTATGCTGGATTTTGTCAGAGGGAGCTGAATAGGAAATTTTCTGCTCTAAACAAGGGTTGAGAGGTTTCTCCTTTGGATTGAGGTTTATTGTTTTGTTATCTTGTCATTTGATGCCTGTTAAATTGCTGTGGAAGCACCAGAGTGAGGAGCTAGTGATCTTT